GTTCGATTCCTCAGCACCACATAAGCAAAAAGAAAAAAGCCGGAAGTGGCGCTGTGGCTCAAGTGGTAGAGCGCTAGCCTTGAGCTGAAGAGCTGACGGACAGGGCCCAGGCCCAGAGTTCAGGCCCCACGACCAGACCCCCCCGCCCAAAAAAAAGAATGATTAAAATAATTTAAAGCTTCTACTAAATACACACCAAAAAAAGGCAAAAATAAAAAGTCAAGGCAAACATCCCAATGAATCAGACTCTGCCAGAATATCAGCATTTTCCATCCATAAGTCTTAGGGGAAATCAGAAGGCCTTTTAGGATGAAAAGAAATCATCTCCCTCCAAGTCAATCCTGTTATGTTTCTCAGTGGCTTAAAAATCCTAAACCCTATGAATGTGGCAGTGTAGCTATATTTTAGAATGTTTGGGTGAAATTTTTGTTATCCACTTTCCCTTAATCTTAAAAAGTATTGAGTTTAGCTAAAAATTAGATTTATAGCCAGATACTAAGATTCACACCTGTAATCCTAGGTACTTGGAAGGCTGAGAGTAAAAGGAAAGTCTAATGAAAAGTTCATTAAATTCATCTTAAAAACAGACTGAAGATGTTGCTCAAGTGGTAAAGCACCAACTTAGCAAGTATGAGGCCCTGAGTTCAAACCCAGTGCTTCCAAAAAAAATTGCTTTCTTTCCTAAGACCTATGCAACCGAAAGAAAACAAAGTTAGATAAATTACATTTCATCAAAATAAAATTTGTTGGTCAAATAATACCAGCAAGAAACTAGGCAATTCACACAACAAAACTACTTGCATACCCTATATATATGTCATGTATTTATAAGTAATATAGTATTAGATTACATAAAGAACTCTTAGCTGGTTGCCAGTGGCTCACACCTATAATCCTAGTTACTCAAGAGGCTGAGATCTGAGGATCATGGTTCAAAGCTAGCTTAGGCAGGAAAGTCCCTAAGACTCTTGTCTCCAATAAACCACCAGAAAACCACAAGTGGTGCTGTGGCTCACGTGTAGGGTGATCGTCTTGAGCTGAAGAGCTCGGGGACAATAACCACAACCAATCGAGGCGGGGGGAGGGGGGAGAGCACAAGGGCGAGATGAGCATCTCATTCCCGCAAAAAATTACTCAGGATATTTTAGAAAAGACCATGACACTCATGGTCGTGCTTATCAAGTGATTTATAATGCTGCAGATTCAGCTATTCCCATTTTAACACTGAAGAAGCAAGTGGAATTATGTTGTTGATTTTTAAAAGTCCAGTACTCTTGTATATACCAAGTTTACAAGAACATTAGAATGATATTCTTCACTTTAATATAAATATTCAAGCAACAGTGAAGACTACAGTTCCAAGCCACTGAAATTGCTGTGAAGTTAGTGCTATAGTTACTGCTATAGTCTGTAGATCTACTAAGACCCTCAGTATCTGGGGGGAAAGGAGGTGGGGGGGGAGGAGAAGGTGAGAGAAAATGAGGCAAGGGGTAACACTGTTCAAAAAGAAATGTACTCGGGGCTGGGAAGGTGGCTTGCCTTGCATGTATGAGGCCATAGGTTCGATTCCTCAGCACCACATAAGCAGAAAAAAAAAAGCTGGAAGTGGCGCTGTGGCTCAAGTGGTAGAGCGCTAGCCTTGAGCTGAAGAGCTGAGGGACAGTGCCAGGCCCAGAGTTCAGGCCCCACGACCAGAACCCCCCCCCAAAAAAAAAGAAAAGAAAAAAAATGTACTCATTATCTTATTTATGTAACTGTAACCCCTCTGTACCTCACCTTTATAATAAAGTTTATATTTTTTTAAAAAAAGACCCTTAATATCTGCTTGAGCAGTATTCTCAAGGGAGGGGTTTGCAGAACCATCGCCAGTAATTACAGTGAAGATTAGTCAGTCTCAAATGAGAAAAGTGGCAAAACAGACTAACAAACAGGAGAAAGAACATTTAAGAAATATGTGCCATGTCAGGAAAGAAGGAAAGAGAAATGCACACAAAATAATCCCAAACACAGGATGAATTTTTTTTTTTTTTGGTAGGGCGTGGGGCTTGAACTCTGGGCCTGGGCGATGTCCCTCAGCTCTTCAGCTCAAGGCGAGCACTCTACCACTTGAGCTACAACGCCACTTCCGGTTTTCTGGTGGTTTATTGGAGATAGGAGTCTCACGGTCTCTCTTGCCCGGGCTGGCTTTGAACTGCAATCCTCAGATCTCAGCCTCCTGAGTAGCTAGGATTACAGGCGTGAGCCACCAGCGCCCGGCTGAATTTAAAATACAGGATATAACCTCATAAGAGTTGTTAAGAATGACTCTCTCTGCTCTTTTCTAGCTCTCAGCTTTTTCCTTCTCTTCTCTTTTCCAGCTCCCTTCTCTTTTCTAGCTCTCTCTCTGCTCTTTTCTCTTTTCTCTCTTTCCCAGCCTCTCTGCTCTCTCTTCTCTCTCTCTGCTCTCTCTCTCTCTCTCTGCTCTCTCTCTGTTCTTTTCTAGCTCTTTTCTCTCTTTCCCAGCTCTTGCTCTTTCCCAGGCCTTTCCCAGCCACGTGGAGTGCCAACCTTGCCTGGACCCAGCAGGTCTACTGAATAAACCAACCCCTTACCTGAAAAAAAAAAAAAGGGGTTGTTAAGAATGAGGATGGATTAAAGGGGGTTATTTAAGATATAGAATAACCTAATAGGAGTTAAGAATGAGGATGGATTAATGGGGAAACTCCTATAAAATAAGAAAGAGCCTTGCCTCTTTGGATAAATTTTAAGCTAACCAAAAACCAAGGATTTAGACCTAATGGCCTTGCAAGCTAAACTCAGAGATGAGGATTTGATAAAGAATGAAGAAATCGTCCTCCAGACTCTGATTTCTTGTTTTGTTTGTTTTGTTTTGGTTTTTTTTTTTTTTTTGGTCGGTTGTAGGACTTGAACTCTGGGCCTGGGCACTGTCCCTCAGGTCTTCAGCTCAAGGTTAATGCTTTACCACTTGAGCCACAGCACCACTTCAGGTTTTCTAAGTGGTTAATTGGAGATAACAGTCTCACGCACTTTCCTGCCTGAGCTGGCTTTGAACCATGATCCTCAGATCTCAGCCTCCTGAGTAGCTAGGATGCCAGGCATGAGCCACCACACCCGGCTCTGGTTTCTTGAGAAAGCACTTTAAGAAATTTAAAACCCATTAGAAATCAGAACCTGTGCCTTACAGGAACAGTAATTTAATTCTGAATTACCCTGAAAATGTGTATGTAGCAGCAATGTAAATGAAATTTTCGTAATAGAGCTGCCGGTTATCCTGGAAATCATTCATATTGCAGCTGATCTCAGAGGAGCCAGCCCCTTTCACAGTCAGAGTGATGAAGGCTGGCAGGGTGGGCTCGTCCCAGGCATAATCCAGCGATGTCATGGGCTTTACTTCAGTCCGCAGCCTGGGTTCCACTACACCATGCTGAGTGAAGACAACAGGGACCTATCGATATAAGGGCAGAGGACAAAGGGACACTGATTCAGAATGGATAGTGTCACTGCAAAGTGAATCAGGCATCTGAGATTCCAGCTCTGATCATTCTTAAATAAATCGCACAGGCAATAATCCCTAGTGAGCCCCCCCCCCCCATCTCACCTTCTCAAATGTTCTCCTTTGTTTGGTTCTTTGTATAAGGGGAAGGGTAGCACTGGGGTTTGAATTTAGCCATTCCTCCAGACCATCTTATTCTAATTTCTTGTTCAGATAGGGTATCACACTTTTGCCTAGACCCACTTTAGACTGCAATCTTCGTATCTCCATCTTTCAAGTAGCTCAGATTACAGGCTACAAATGATTTTCACATTTGAAATTGTCTGCTACTCAGGAGGAAGAGATTGCAAGAAGTACATTCTGAGGCCAGCCAAGGCAGGAGTTAGCCAAAAAACTACACATGATGGCATACTCTTGTGGTCCCAGCTACTCAGGAGGGAAAGTAGGATGATCATAGTCTAAAACCAGACAGGTAAAAGTATGAGACCATATCTAAAACCCAACTAAAAAAGCAAAAGGACTGTGAGCATGGCTCAAGTAGGAGAGTATTTGCCCAGCAAGTCCAAGTCCCAAAATTCAGTCTCCCGTACCACCACAAAAATGAGGAGCAGCAACAACTTCAGCCAAAATACCTCAAGGAAGCATCTCTATCGTTCCATTGGCTGTTTTTTTTTTTCCTTTACCCTACTCCCCTTGACATACTTTAAATACAGAAAGGAATGAGGATGGGGAATTTGGCTACAGAAAGCCACATGTGGTAAGGCACACAGTTATTCAAAGGAGTAATTCAAAATAGAATCTAAGCCAGGTGCCAGTGGCTTACATATTATGCAATCCTAGCTACTCAGGAGGCTGAGATCTGAGGAGTTTGGTTCAAAGCTATCCCAATCAGGAAAATCTGAGACTCTTGTCTCTAATTAACCACCAAAAAGTCAGAAGTGGAGCTGTGGCTCAAGTGGTCCAGCTTTACCTTTGAGCAAAAAACTCAAGGATAATGCCCAGACCAGGAACTCAAGCCCCAGGACCAGCACCAAAAAAACTAAATAAATAAATGAAAGGAATCTAACTATTCTCCTTTGGGCTTTACTTGGGAGGATCATACAAACCCTCACTGTGTATCTAATTAACACCATCTCTGCTCATTCCCATTGTCACTGGACAATTTAATTCCTTTCTCGACCTCTTACAATGAAAATCTAAGAGGACATCATGTCAACCAAAGTCTCCTGTCAAAATATTAAGGGATAAAAAGTTCCTTTTGCTGAGTGAAGGCTGCCCAGCCATCAAAATAACCATGAGGAAACACATCCGAACAGTCAGGATTCCAGGGTTGACAGGCTATAGACGGCCTACTCTTCTATATCTTCCTTTGAGTGCATTACCGCATTATCACACCCTCTCACCCGGGAAGCAGCCCACTGGCTCTCCATGACATCTGGTACCTTAGAAAAGTTGTCAATGCGGAAAGGAGGAGGTAATTGGTCGGTGTCACTAAAGGAGATCCTGTATGTAGCTCCTCTCAGGGTGATTTCCACTCGTAGGAAGAAGCATTTTCCCAGGGTATCCCTACAGAATACAGAGACAAAGGAGGTGCCATTACAACGAAGAAACAAGTGCAATGTGTTTTTCCATTGTGCTTTGCACCACCATAATGCTGTGTGCCCCGGTGAACAGCATGGAACTTCCAGTCTACTACACGGTCCTTTACCACATGAGAAAGTAGAAACCAATAACCATATGGTGATTTCCTATCCCTTCAACATTTATTAACTGATATCCTTCTATAAAGATGTGAAGGAGAGAGAAAAACCAGGAATAAACAGAGAGAGAGGGAGAGAGAGAGAGAGACAGAAAGGGAGAGGGAGGGAGAGAAGGCGAGAGGGAGAGAGAGAAAGAGGGAGAGAGGGAGAGAGAGGAGAGAGACAGAGAGAGACAGAGAGAAAGAGGTCACCTTTTCAGAAAAAGTATGAGAAAATTTGAAAATTACCATTTTGTATCCACCACTGTAAATGGACACATGAGAAGAACCATCACACCACTGAGTCAATGATTTAATATTCAATCTTAAATGATCTCCCAGTGAATGACTCTTTTCAAGGAAGGAAAGTAATTGTATGATAAAGGCCTGGCAGGCATCGCCTTAACTGAGTAATGGTCAAACGTAATCCCCACACTGGGCCACCATACCACAGGCCTCCTGCTGTGATGCAATCACATTACTACCAAAAACATGTCTCCCAAATTCATATGGAGAAAAACATCATCCAAATGCAGAAACTTTGACATTTTATAAGAAGCTGGAGCTTTCAAAAATGTCACCGTCAATAACGACAAACAGGGAGAAGTGGGACTGCTCTAGATAAAGAGAACAAGAGAATGTGTTGGCCGCATAAGAAAATTATTTATTATTATTTTTATTTTTACTTTTGGGTCCCCTCATGGGCCTGAACTCTGGGCCTGGGCGCTGTTCAGCTCAAGGCTAGCACTCTACTACTTGAGCCACAGTGCCACTTCTGGATTTTTTTTTTTTTCTGCGTATGTGGTGCTGAAGAATTGAACCCAGGGACTCAAGCATGCAAGGCAAGCGCTCTACCACTGAGCCACCTTCCCAGCCAAAGAAAATTATTCTTGACTGGACCTAAATCAAGGACAGTGAGAGGTGCTGTAAAGGACATTTTAGTCATTCATTCATTCTATGAAGGCTATTTGTTAGAAAACTACATATCTATGTTAAATTTCTCAGTTTGCAAAACTGAGAATACACATTATATAAATTATACATAATGTATATACAAATATACATTATACATAAATATATATAAGTGGGCACCATTCCTGTAATCCTAGCTACTCAGCAGGCTGAGCTCTGAGGACTGTGGTTTAAAGCTAGCCTCGGCAGAAAAGTCTATAATCTACAATTAACAAGCTCAAGAGGTAAAGCACCAGCCAAGAAAGCAAGTCCAGCAATCATGAGGCCCTCAGTTCAAATCCTGATACATGCAAAAAATTAATAATAATGAATAATTTTTTTAATAAATATAATCCTGCTACTAGTGGCATTTTTATAGGTGAAGTCTAATGAACAAGTTCAGTTTATTTCAAATCATTTAGAAAAGTCCATGTAAGATGGGCTCATGTGCACAGAAGGATTTCAGGACAGAGGGATGGAGGAAGTGAGAGGAAAAGTGGTAAGAACGGGGCAAAATGTTGAAAATGAGTAAATCCAGGTACAAGATGGAAAAGGATTCTCATTTTTTGTTTCCAAATGAAAAGCTGGCAAAAGTAAAAGAGATAGATGGCTCAGTACTTTAAGGTAGCATGATGAGACTACTTTGAAAGCATTAACAAAAAGGCCTAGAAGTCATCTTCTTCCCTTTCTATCTTATGTTTAAATAATCTTGAGTAACTTTTTGGTTTAATGCTAAATTAGCTTTCCATTCTCACCATAAATCTGGGCTACCTCCATCCAGACAGACATAAAACAATGGTGGCTAGGGTACAAAGTACCCTACCTTCTTTTTCTCTTTTTTTTCAGACACAAAAGCAATCTTGTGCGGAATGCCTTGTACCATGCAACAAAAAGCAGTTTTAGATCTAGCTTCCACATGTGAGAGAACACATGTGCTGTTATTTTTAATTTCTTGATGTGCCACCATACTATTTCCCATAGTGCTTGTGGCATGTTATTTTTCTTCCAACAGCGTAACAGGATCCCAACTTTTCTACAGCCTCATCCACTTAACGGGTGTGAGGTGGTATCTCATTGTGTTTCTTAGTTTTGTTTTGTCTTTTGGGTGTTAGAGCTGGAAACCATGGCCTCTGGCATGCTAAGCACACACTCTACCACTGACTGAGCTAAACCCACAGCCTTCATCATTGTGGTTTTGATTCATAATTCTTTAATGATTAGTGACGTTGAATATCTTTTCATGTGCTTCTCAGCCATTTGTGCATCTTCACTGGAAAATATTTATCGAAATGAATTCCAAGAAATGGAAACAAGAGCTTTTTCTCTTTTTGTTTTGTTCATCTGTCTTTACAGGGGTCAGCGGGGACACACAAGTGGAGGGACAAAGAGTGAACAAATGAAGTAGTGGTACACGATAGACACTGTTGGAAATGAATTATACAACTTGTGGGTGGAAAAAACTGGGAGAACGCAAAGGAAAGGATGACTATGTCCAAAAAGAATGTACTTATTATCTGAAAAGTAACTAACCCCTCTGAACATTGCCTTTATAATAATAACATATATAAATTAAAAATAATAAAGCCAGGTTCAGTGGGCTATACTTGTGACTATCCATCAACAGATGAAGAGATAAATAAAATGTGGTACAAACATACAATGGAATGTTATGCAGCTTTTGAAAAGAAAGGAATTCTAATCCATACTACAACGCAGATGAACTCTGAAAATGTTATACTAAATAAAACAAGCCAGTCACAAAAAGACAAGTATTCCACGATTTCACTTATATGAGGCACCCAGCAATCAACTTTCTATACAGACATAACAGAGAATGTGTGGGCAAGAAGACTGGGCAGTTGTTTAATGGGTACAGAGTTGCAGCTTTACAAACTGAAAACAGTTCTGAAGATTATTTGTACAGCAATGTGAATATAGTTACAATAGTGAATTGTATACTTAATATATTTTGTGTATACTTAATATATTTTAGCATTATTAAAAGTTTCTTTTAGCCAGGCACAGTAAAGGACTATCTATAATACCAGCTGCTTGTGAGGCTGTGGCAGGTGGCTCACTTGAGCCTAGAATTTCAAGTTCAAAATGGGCAACATTACAAGACAAACACGCCCCCAACCATCTCACAACCTCAAAACAAAAATCTATTATTTTTTAAATTATTTAAATTATTATTTTTTAAAACATTTGATTAAAGAATGATGCAGGATAGGTAGATGAAGAGACAGAAAATAATTATTTTTAATAAATATAAAAAGAGCTAGACTCAGAAAGTTGAAACCAAAAAGCACTGAAAAAGCAGTTACATGTCCCTCAATTTTACATGCTAAGTTACAAACACTGGGGGACTTGGAAGGAGCTAGCTATCTTAAATCTGCCTTCTCTTTGAAATGGCAAAATCCTGGCACTTTGGGTTTTTGTTTTTGTTTTTGTCAGTAGTGGGGCTTGAACTCTGGGCCTGGGTGCTGTCCATAAGCTCTTCAGCTTAAGGTGCTGTACCGCTTGAACCACGGTGCCACTTCCAGTTTTCTGGTGGTTAATTAGAGAAAAGAGTCTCATGAACTTTCCTTCCCAGGCTGGCTTTGAACTATGATCCTCAGATCTCAGCCTCCTGAGTAGCTAGGATTATAGGTGTGAGCCACCGGTGCCCAGCTGCTGGCACCTTTGTAAAATGAATAATGAAGGCAAGCAAAAAAGAAGACTTAAAGCTCACCTACCTCCCTGTGATTCAGACAAGCCCAGAATTTTAGAATAATCAGCAGCACCAGTCTTGACTGTGTGTTGCTAGAGGACATGACCACACAAGCAATACCCTAGCTCAGAAAGAATAGAGGCAACAGGTAACAGCTGTCATTTGGAGTTTGACTCCCATTTTTTGGATGGACAGCAGGGAATGTTTCCCTTTCTTTTTTTTATTTCTCCTATTTTAATCCTGTTATACCAAACTAAAACTGTCACCTTGTGAATCTCATTTTTTGTAAGACACCCTGAAATGCTTTTCATGCATGGATCTCCAAGGCCTGATGTCATGTGGAAACTTGGAAGCTGACAAAACCCCTCATCTACTCTTCTCTAACTGTAAGAAGAAAGATTAAGTCATCGCTGGCTAGTTGACTTATTATTCTAACAAGGACCTTGAGGGTCACTGGCAGGACAATGAAAGCCAGACAATTTAATAACAGCATCAAGTTAAGAGAAGCATGTACAAATGCTAAGAATAGACAAAAATATTTGTAATTGTGCTGTCATCTAAGCACAGACAGAATTTCCAGACATCCAGGAAAGCATGAGATGAGTGCATTGCTGCCCCTGGACTTACTCCTTTGTAGACCACAGAAGTTACTCAACAGTTCCAACCGCTAACAGCCCCTTTAACTCATTCCATCAACGTGCTTACTCCTCTCTAGATTTTGCAAGCTCTAAGGATATCATCTGAGCCAGAAATACCTCTGCCCACTTTACAAAGAGCAGAATGGGCCTGCAATTTACATTACTGCATCTCAAACAAGACTACTTTTTGTTTCTAGGTCAGGCCTTGAACTTACCTCATGTTGATATGGAAGGAATTATTCTTGTTGACTTCAAAGCCTCCAGACCAAATACAATTGGGAACATCCATCAACCTGACACATAATAGCTGATCATAGTCATTGCGAGGCCAATGGAACACCACACTGGAACCAGGAAGGGTGGAAATGTAACCCTCGGGATTGGCTGTTCCCTAAAACACACAGAAACACTGGCTTTAATCAACAAAGCAATACTCAGCAACATATAAAGGTCTGCTGAGTTCCAACACAGCCTTATCTTCTGGCAGGAACTATTTGGGTCATTCATATCATAAAATGGACAGTATTAATGTAAGATGAGTCATGACATTAAAACTCACTTTTGATACTAAGTAAGCACGGTCTACTCAAAGCCAAACTGCTTACCTGTCCCCTGGCAAATTCCCTTTGTGCAAATGCGAGCTTGTGAGATGACTTGTTGTCTAACAGGTAACGGGGCGCAAAGATGACCATACAGGTATCGATATATCGGCCTCGGCCTTTCTTAACATCAATACCTGCAAGTAACAAGAGCCATCTGTATGAATTACTCATAAGACAGTAAATCCTTGGTCCAACAAAAATAAACAGGTATCACAATTAGCTTCTCTGAGAAAAAAATTATATCACGAGAGGATATGGAGCCTTTCAAGAATGTGATATAAACTGCAATTTTATGCAAAGTACAAAACTATTCTGTTTCCCCATTTAGGCCTTAAAAACTCTCAAGGACAACATCAATAGTCCCTGAAATCTCAGCTCTTCACAGAATATGTACCATTATAGCAGAAACTAAAATATATAAGCATTCAACCACATATGCCTCATGTTTACAGTTACGAAACTAAGACAAGTTCATATGATGCATTCCTACTTACACATAAACAAAACTTTCTCCTAGAGAACTTGCCTTTTTGGCAGGCTGTGATGGGAATTCAGAAGTATCTGGTTGGATTTGTTCTGACTGAACTCAAACTACTTATCTAGTACTGTCTTTTATCCCATTGTCCAAGATTCTTCCTCAATTACAATGCTACATACTAGAATTTATATCCATAAAATAAGTACGTCTTTAAAAACAATTTGCCTTGTAAAAGTTAAGATGTGTTTGCGACTTTAACTATTCCACAATACTGTGAAATAAGTGAAATTTATGTAATCATCTAATCTCAATTTTAAAAAAAAGTGAGAGAAGGGATGGGTTAGGAGCGATGGGTGGCAATGTTGTCAGACACCTTGCATACATATACTGTTTTGTAGAATGGGAACTTCTTTGTACAACTACTTAAAAATAATAATAAAAAATGTTAAAAATAATAATAATAAAGTGCAAAACACAAATAAAACAGAAGAAAATCTCAAAACAAGTTCCAAGTAAGAAAAATGAAATAGCACTGAATTACCTTTAAAAATCTGAAGACATCTTTTTTTTTTGCCCCCAGTTGTGGGGATTGCACCCTGGGCCTGGGCACTGTCCCTCAGCTCTTCAACTCAAGGCTAGCACTCTACCACTTGAGCCACAGCGCCACTTCCAGCTTTCTCTGCTTATGTGGTGCTGAGGAATCAAACTCAGAGCCTCATGCATGCAAGGCAAGCACTCTACCACTGAGCCACCTTCCCAGCCCTGATGACACCTTTTTTTATTTATTTAATTTTATTTGTGAACATACTGTACAGAGGGGTTACAATTGCATGGGCAGGACCTGATGACACCTTTTTAAAACCACAAAATAGTGGATAAATCATCCATTCATCCAGACAATAAATGCAGTAATTATACTGAAAGCACTGGACTAAAGTCCAGCTATATAACATTCAAAGCATTTATAATAGAAATAATAAAATATCAATAATGTTTACTGGACTCTAATAAAGAAAGACTTCATATTTCATCCTCATAACCGCCTGAGTTACAAACCTAATTATGTCTATTTTACAGAGGAGAGGCACAGGAAGTTAGGTAACACAGCTAGTAGATGGTATGGCTGGGGTTCAAACCAAGCACCTGCCTGGACCCAGAATCTCCACGAGGCTTTTCATACTTTAATAGGATATATATGTATATGCAAGATTCCAGCTCAGCAGTCAAGTCTGGAGAAAACCATAAAAATGAAAGAATTTGACTTTCTATAGAATAATCAGATACTGATTTTCTAATACAATCCCAGTTGCCAATTCCAATGCATATTCATAATGCACTTGTACTGGTTTAGAAATTCTGATGTTCCTTTACTACAGCTTGAAAATACTTGAAAGACTGAGAAAATCGCAAGAATAAGTATCTGTCTCTGAAACGCCTTTGAAAAGGAGAAGATATGATAGGAGGAGATCACAGCCCAAAGCTGGTTCCAGGCAAATATATGAGACCTTATCTGGAAAAAGCAAAAAAGGATTGGACTTAGCTCAAGTGGTACAGTGGGTGCCTCGCAAAGGCCATGTGGTACTAGAGGAAGGAAATAATCCTGTTGCTTTTCTTCCTGGGGTATGAAAAAAAGGTTTAGTTGCCAGAGACCAACAGTATGAGAGTTAGCTGATCTTAACTATCACAACATTTGCCTGTAGAAGATGAATTTAACTTGATGCTACAAAAGGTGCTAGAGTATCCAAACCAGTACACACTCTGGAAAAGGTATGCCTTTTTTGTTTCGCATTTCATCTTAGACTGCCCTCGCCATCCTCCAATAAGATGAGCTGAGAAGATGAAGCTGCAATAAAGGCCTCTGGAGAGAGAGATGAGGCTAACTGGCCATGCCCTCCTTGGCTTTTCAGTTTGGAACTGAGCTGTAAGCATTCCTAATAGGAAGCTAGTTATCTACCCAATTCTATCTACCCAAGTAAAACAGTCCATAGATTTCCTTGGAAATACATGCCCAAATCTCATAAGAACCCATTGCAAAGTCCTATTTTGTACAATATTTCATGGTAGAATAACAAAGTACAACCCTGCGATAAATGCTCCATGCATGTAGGTCTACACAAGTAATCTACTGCATATTTTTAATTTGTTCACACAAAAGGAACAAGTGATATTCTTCCCCAAATTTGTCTCAACAAAAGCTTCCAGCCAACCTTGCTCTGGGAAATGTACCAAGAACAGGGTATTCCAAGAAAAAGCCAAGATGAAGCAGCCTTTGCCTATCCAAACGTAAGAAAAAGTACATTATCTACAGCTGGAGGAATGAACAAAGTTTATTTTTTATTCCGTGTGTGTGTGTGTGTGTGTGTGTGTGGTGTGTGTGGTGTGTGTGTGTGGTGTGGTGTGGTGTGTGTGGTACGTATGTGTGTGGTGTGGTGGGGGGGGGGGGTATGCCCCAGTCCAAGGACTTGAACTCAGGGCCTGGGCACTGTCCCTGAGTTTTGATTTGTTTGAACCAAGGCTAGTGCTCTACTAGTTGAGTCACACTTCCACTTCTGGCTTTTTGCTGGTTAATTGGAGATAAAAAGTTTATGGACTTTGCCGCCCAGGCTGGCTTTGTACAGCAATTCTCAGACTTCAGCCTCTTCAGCAGCTAAGGTTACAGGTATGGGCCACTAGCGTCCAGCTAAAGTTTATTTCTTTAAAATATCTTAATGTCCACTATAGGACTACAAATATAAATCCATGTTAAAATTTTTGAAAAGGCTAAGATATAGGCAGAAGGATCATGGTCCAAAGGCAGGCTCTGGACAAAATTGTGAAACTCCATCTAAAATATAACTAAGGCCAAAAAGAGCTAGGGGAGTGGCTCAAGTCCTTCTACAGCAGGACTACTGCTATCTGCACTGTCCAGTACCACAGCTAATTAAATATAGCTATTCACATTTAATTTCACTACATGAATGAAATTATTTCATCCCTCCATCACATAGCCATACTTCTCAGGATGTGTTCTCAAGAACTCAGCAGCTAGCCAGGCGCCAGTGGCTCACGCCTGTAATCCTAACTACTCAGGAGGCTGAGATCTGAGGATTGAGGTTCAAAGCCAGCCCGGGCAGGAAAGTCTGTGAGACTCTTATCTCCAATAAACCACTAGAAAACTGGAGGTGGCGCTGTGGCTCAAGTGGTAGAGCTCTCGCCTTGAGCTAAAGAGCTGAGGAATAGTGCCCAAGCCCAGAGTTCAAGCCCCATGACCGACCAAAAAAAAAAAAAAACCTCAGCAGCTGCACGTGGCTTGTAGCTAGTTATGTGTGGGAAGGTGGTTAGAACTCCATCATCATGTATGACAATATAACTCTAATATTCCAATACTCAACCGCCTTGGAGAAAGAGGGATATACTGCTAACATTCTAATTCTAAGGCATATATGTAAGTAAGATAGATCCTTCGGGTGTTCTCAGGATCCCTGAGAATATTTATATAGTGTCTCTGTGCCACCTCAAAAGGCTGTCTGGGAACTTCTAATGTCTACAATACAGAGTGCATTTTTTTCTATCTTCTCCTTCACATTCACCAGCCACCACCCTTCTTCTGACTCACTCCTCCCCTCTTCTTGTAAGCAAGTCATTTTGTTTTCTACTTTAGTTTCAGGGAGAACAATGCTTCTTACCCTCTTAGGGTTTTGCAAATGTTATGAAAGTATAAGGATACAAGGTGGAGAAAAAGCATCTTCTGAAAAACAAAGATTCAAACCAAACTGATGCCATCCTGCCAGCAAGGTGAGTTTGAAATTAAATAGGGCTACTGACTTAAAAAAGGGTAGTGTTTAGGTGGCTCCTCCAATCCCTAGGAGAATAGATATGTGTTGAACTCAATATAGCATTCAAAGAACAGACATACGACCTACTGTCAAAAAAAAAAAAAACCAATACTTGTAGCCAGGACAAAATGCATGGCCAGAATATTCGTCTAAGCCTGAGGTCACTGGATAATAGTTCTGTCTTCCCACTGCCCAACAGGTAACCCACCAATATTATAGATCAGCCCTGGGCGGTTTCCTTGCTGGATGACTTTCAAAGCTCGGACACCACTACCACCATCCAGGGAGAAGCCCTGACACCAGCCAGGCATGCCTTCTGGATGAATCCCCTTTCCGATTCTCATCGTGCAGCTGTGGGGCAGAAAAGCAAACATGTATACATTCATCCACAAGAAATCTTATCTACCTCCTAAGTAGGCAACACTAAGGTGGCTATCACCCAGTCAGATCTCTAATACTGACACTAAGAGAATTAATCAGTGTAAACACACTTCCTAGAAGTAGCCATAGTCCAACAGTGTGTGATATATACAAGCATTTACAACTGAACACTTTAGAAGAAAACCCTAGGATTCTGTGGGCCTAACACGTGAGAAAAGTGCTGCCCTGAAAAAAATCAAAGCAAAAAAAAAAAAAAAAGGAAAGAAAGAAAGCAAAAACAAAAACTCTGAGAAAAAAACCTGACCAAGGCATGTAAAGAGAAGAACTTGATGGTGAATCACTTCCAAGGACTGACTCAATCCCAGTGCCAAAGTACTATTGAGTTGTCTGTGTCTTGTCGGACAAGACACAAGAAAACTTAACTCCTAAACCTGCACTCCAGCTCTATCACTAATAAAGCAATGTACACTTGAGCCAGTAGCTCTCTGAGTCTCAATTTCCTCCTGTTAAGATATTACAGTATCTCCTGGCCACCCAAAACCACTGGGAACCTGGGGAGAATCTAATGAGATAGTTTTCATGGAAACACTTTGGGAAGTGGAAATTCCACAGATAACAAACTTGTGACAAATGTTAAGTCCTAGATCTAAAATGGCCAATAACTGTTTGAGGTCCAGTGAGGCTGAAGTACTGACCATGTCAGTGGCTAGCTGTGTCCCCAACACTAATCTAGATTGCAGCCATCTGTACCACTGCAGTGCAGCATTTGGAAGCATTAATGCTAAGCCTTCAGCAGAAGTCTCCATGTAAGAGTGCATGGCACTTTTGATTATGAGACATACTCATTTACTTTTGGATTAGGGCTACAAATGAGAAGACCTCATAAAAAGCAGAATGTCAAAACTAAGAACAAAAGCAAATTAATGTTCTACCATACATTAAAAGAAACTATCATTTAACTGGGCACCAGTGGCTCACACCTGTAATCCTAGCTACTCAGGAGGCTGAGATCTAAGGATCACCACTCAATGCCAGCCCAAGCAGGAAAGTCCGTGAGACTCTTATCTCCAATAAACAACTAGAAAACCGGAAGTAGCACTGTGGCTCAAGCAGTAGAGTGCTCGCCTTGGGCTGAAGAGCGCAGGGACAGCGCCCAAGCACAGAGTTGAAGCTCCACGACTGACGCCCCCCCCAAAAAAAAGAATCTGTCATTTAGCCTGCACAATTCTTGGTTTGCCCTGCTCTAAGCACTCAATGAGTGTTTTGGGATGCAGAACAGCCTACTTTGGATTTCAAAACCTTCCACTAACAGCCATAACTGATCAGTGGGGCTGAAAGGCAGCCTATCTTCTTCCTAATGCCAGCTCTTCAGTGCTAAAAGCTTCAGCAGATGGGAAACTGAAGAGAAGAGGGAGTGCCAGGTTTCTCTTCATGAATAGGAGAACTACTTCAACACATACTAAATAAAACTAACTTTCATTATACACTAACAACTGACTTAGTGCTAGTATCAAATAACACAAATTAGATGGGGGAAAAAAATCCCATTATGTCATGATTCTGCCCTCTGCCAAGTCAGAACTGTTATCTACAGATTACTTCTACTTCCATGGATAAGTTATAGCCATGGCCAATTTTCCTTCTCGAGGAGCTGATTTCCCCCCTTCCTGGAAATAACTGTACTCACAGGTTTGGCTGTTCTTTATCAGCATAGCAGAATAAGAGAGGACTCAGGCTCCGGGCCAACTCATGTTCCTCAAACTGGCCTGCAGCATCTGTCTTTGCATTGTCCTGTCTGAAGATCAGTGGTAACCCTTTAGAAAGGAGGGGGAAAAGTTTATATCATTCCCACCCAGTCTGCCCATGGAAGATGAAAATGGAAAAAGGATGAAAAATTATCATCAGGGGAGGGAGTAGAAATAATGGAGTTCATCCAATGGGTCCCATCCACTGCCTAGAAGGCCAGATCTGACTATAGTGAAGCATGCTCAAGGAGCTTAGCAGCTCAGACAGCTGAAGTAATCTGCTTGGATTAGTTCTATTTAGGTAGGACATATTCAGTGAATACACCTGAACTCCCATAACTAAGGCCAACGCTACTTGGACAGAGGCTCTGTACATACCTGTTTTGTTAATGAGCCAATACGGGGCAGAAATGAAGATCTTTAAGGACCCTTCTGCTCGACACACGATCCGGATGGTAAGGTTCAACTGCCGCCGGCCGATGTCATAGAGTCGCATTCTTACCATATAGTTTTGGGTCCCAGGGGGAATGAGCAATTCTTTACAGAGGGGAAAGTTCTCCAGTGACACCCCTAAAGAAGGTATAAGCTTATTATCTTTGTGGATTCTCTGGGGAGTTGTAAAAAGAGCTGACAGGAAAACTAAATTGAATTCCTTTTAGAAAACTCTCTAAGGTTCTAACTGGTAAATATTTCAAAGGCCACTTTTCTCAAGCTGGAGTAAAGAATAAGTATGAAGCAAATCAGATAGTCTGATGTCTCATTTATAAAGTTTATACTGTATAGTGATTGTATTATTTATAAAGCCCATTCTTAAATCCTAAATTCTAATCCCAGAATTCCAAAAAGCTACCAAAAGGAGTTATGATTCTAAGTTTGCTGTACCTCATACCCTGGGCTCATTGCTTAAAACACAGTAAAGCAAATGTAGGTTCTGCATCCAAACTGCTTGTCTTCACATCCCCAGTCTGCCTTATCATCTACTTGGTGTGGAGCAAACTATTCAATTTTCCTGGGCCTCTGCAGAATGTGGTACTAATTCTATCTATGTGGCAGGACCAGGATAAGAAGAGATGACCCAGGTATAGATGACACTAAAGACTAGGAACACCAATGAAATGACAGGTTCATTTCATATGAGACTTGATAACTGATTGAAAAAATATCAGAAAATGACCTAAATACCAGAGACATTTTGTCTCTGAGTAAATACCACTGCATTACTTTTCTAAATTAAGCTCAAGGAGTTATATAGTCATTGAAATGTTATCTTGACATTATGGGACATTATGTAAAATAGGGACAACCCCAGGTCTCTGCTGTGCAGATCAACTTAGACAATTCAATGAAAGCACTTGTGCACCGTATCTCATACTGCTCAACACAGTCACTGGCAGTCCTGTGGCAACAAACATAAAACACTTCTGAAAGTGCCTCAAATATAGATCTTGACTTTGACTTCATTCACCCTTACAACTGAAAATTACTTGATGTATTAAAACATTCTAAGTTTCATTTAACAAATAACTACTGCTATAAAGATTCCATGAGATGGGCTGGGAGTGTGGCTTAGTGGTAGAGTGCTTGCCTAGCATGCCTGAAGCCTTGGGTCTGATTCCTCAGTACCACAGAAAAACAGAAAAAGCCAGAAGTACTGCTGTTGCTCAAGTGATAGAGTACTAGCCTTGAGCAAAAAGCAGCTCAGGGACAGTGCCCAGACCCTGAGTTCAAGTCCCAGGACCAGCAAAAAAAAAGATTCCATGAGATCATGTGTGTGAAAACACCTGGTGGGATAAAAGTGAGTGATCAGCAGATGTTTACCCTTTCCCTCTCAAGAGACACATAAGTCAAGCCACAGCTAGGAAAGCACATGGTTTGAAAACATGCACTGGGGCTAGGAATGGGACTTAGTGGTAGAGTGCTTGCCTAGCATGCATGAGGCCCTGCGTTTGATTACTTAGTACCACATAAACAAAATAATAAAAAGAAAACATGCACTGACTTCATATAATTATATCAAGTGAGCCTCAGCCCAGACCTCCCAATCTCAGGCAATAATAATGGTGTGCATTTATCATCCCAGCCACCTGGAAGTAACTAAGAAGATGGTTATCCAGGGAAAAAGAAAGATCATATACAAAAAAATATATATATAAAGCAAAAGGTACTCCAGGGTTTGAACACTTGCACAGCAAGCACAAGGCCCTGAGTTCAAACCCCAGTATAAACAAAAAGGGGAAAGAGGAACCAGGTTGAGTGTTTCCTCTTTGGTTTGTTCAATTTGTTCTCTTGTGTGTGTGTGTCGGTCATGGGGCTTGAACTCTTGGCCCAAGCCCTGTCCCTGAGCTCTTCAGCTCAAGGCCACTGCACCACTTCTGGTTTTCTGATGGTTAGTTGGAGTTAAAGAGTCTCATGACTTTCCTGCCTGAGCTGGCTTTGAACCATGCTCTTGGGTAGCTAGGATTACAGGCATGCCACCAGCACCTGGCTCAATTTGTTCTTTTAAACCCCATAATTGTTTTAACTGGCTTTTTGAGGTATCATCTATGCCACAAGTTCACCAGGATGTCCACATAAATTATTATTTTCACAGGATTACTACAAATGAGCCTATGTGACACACCTTACCTAGTTCAATGTTCTGGGATGTATCTGCTGTATGAAGGGCTACCTCTTTGCCAGGTTTTAAAGTCCCATTAATGGGCATTCCTTTCACATAAAAGTCCAGTTCACAAGGCAACAAGTTGCATATTACCACAGTTGGCAGGAGATAAATGGTATGCCCAGGCTGTCTGAAAATCTGTTTGGCACTGTCAGAAAATATGTTGGAGGGCATATAATCTGGATAATTTTCTTTCTTGATAGCCACACAAAACCTATGAAGACAAAATAGTGTATAAATCATCAGCTTGCATGAAGAACTTGAATTTTTCTCCTGAAGCTGAATTACATTACAATGGTTCAATGTTAGTTATACATTTGCGCTTTTTAATCCAAATGCATCTATACAATAAATATTACAGATTTTCAACTGTCTGTTTAATGAATTTTGACAATTACACATGCCTCTATAATACCACTCAAAGCAAGCTATGAACTATTTAACCCCAAAAAGCTCCTTCATGTCCTTTTCCAATCAATATTCTCTACCTATCATTCAGGCAATCACTTTCCACTAGTTGTTTGTTCACAAGTTGCATATAGCTGGAGTCATGTAGCATATATTACTCTGTCTGACTTTACCTATAAAATTCAGCCAATTTTAGTATTTTTTCATTGATGGTGGTATGCCATGGTAAAAATCACTCTTTTCTTACTTATTATCTTGTGGATATCCAATTGGTTTCCAGTTTAGGGCTAAATAAAAATAAATTTTTTGGAGATAAACTTTCATTTCTTTCAGTAAAATAACTAGATTATGAATAGGTTCTTAGCGTTTATAAGAAATTGCCTTAGTGGTGCTATGGCTCAAAGTGGTAGTGTGTTAGTCTTGAGTAAAAAAGCTCAGGGACAACACCCAGGCCCTGAGTTCAAGCCCCACAAACAACAAAAAAGGAAAAGAAGGGAAAGGGAAAGGGAATGAGAGAAAGAAGTTACCATGCATTGCTCTAAAGTGGTTGTACCATTTCATAGACCCAGCTATTTATGAGTTCTAGTTGTTCCACATCTTTGCCAACATTTAATATTGTCTGTCTTTTCTTATTGATCCCTTCTAGGAGAGTATACCTGTAATTCAGATTTGCATTTTCCTTTTTTTTCCACATTTTTTTTTATTGACAAGGTGATATATGGACAGGTTACCGTTACGTAAGGTAACAAGTACATTTCTTGTCAAACTTGTTACCCTTTCCTCATTTTTCTCCCACCCTCCTCCCAGCCCCCTACAGAGATTTGCATTTTTCTAATCACTAATTATTTTGGACATCTTTTCATTTGTCTACTTAAAATTTGTATATTGTCTTCTATAAACTATCAGTTCAAATATTATTGTTGATTTGAAGGACTTCTACATAAAAATTCTTTGTTAAATGTACTTAAACAGGTAGGCACTGGTGGCTTATGCCTATAATCCTAGCCTACTCAGGAAGCTGAGACCTGAGGATCAGGGTTCAAAGTCAACCCAGGTAGGAAAATCCAAGAGACTCTTATCTCCCATTAACCACCTGAAAGCCAGAAGTGGTGCTGTGGCTCAAGTAGTAGAGCACTCACTCTGAGCTGAAGAGCTCAGGGACAGTGCCCAGGTCCAGAGTTCAAGACCCATAACAACAACAATAAAAGGTATTTAAACATATAAGCATATGTGTTTATATATGTCCAACTCTATAGTTTATCTATTCCTTTCCTTACTTCAATTTGCTAATAAAAACTTCCAATTTCTCATTTTTCCTCATAGTCTTTGATGCTTTTTGTGTAAGATATCTGCCTACCCAATGTCAGAAAGTATTTTTCTAAAAATTATGGTTCTCAATTGCACATTCATATCTATGATCCATCTCAGATTAAATTTTGCAAATGCTCTGGTAGCTCATGCCTATAATTCTAGCTATCTAGGACACTAAGATCTGAGGATCACGGTTCAAAGCCAGTCTGGACAAAAAAGTCTATGAGACTCCATCTCCAATAAACCACATCAGGCTGGAAATGGAATGGTGGCTTAAGTGGTAGAGAGCTAGTCTCAAGCAAAAAAGCTCAAAGAAAGCACCCTGGAACTAATAAACCAATTGTTTTGCAAATGCAGTGATAGAGAAGTGGAAGTGCATGTTTTCATAGGGCTATTTTCTTGTTCCAGCAATGTTTGTTTGGAAAACTTCCCCATGCTCTACTGTATTGACTTGAAACCTTGTCTAAAAGTCCCCTTTGTACTCCACTGATTGACATTTCTGTCTTTATGCCAATAACACCTGACAGTGGCTCAACAGCAAGTCTTAAAAATAGGTTTTGTAAGTCCTCCAGTTTTGTTCTTTTTTGAGATTGTATTGAATAATCTGGATTCCTAGTTTCCATATAAATATATAAATTAGCTCCTTATTTCTTCAAAGCATACTAAAATTTTGATAGGGATGGTATTACGTCTTCAGATCAATTTATTGAGAAAAGAAATTCTGAGCCAGGAATAATTGTGCATACCCTTAATCCCAAGACTTGGGAAGCTACAGCAAGATGATCTCAAGATCAAGGCCATGCTGGGCTACATATCAAGTTCTAAGCCAGCTTGGGCTATTTATCAAAACTGTGAAAAGGCAAATGGTGCATGTCAATGTAACTGTAGCATAACACATACCTGAAGAATCGGCTTTTTTCTGTGTCCATCGAGTGGCACTCTCGTTTGCTGCTACTAACCTCTGTTGGCTTCACTACATTGGTCCAATGTATTGGAGTTTTACAGAAGAACACACCAAATCCTTTGGGCCGGGCCTGTAGCCGCCAAGAGGTGAGGTGTAAAGGCACGGCGAATGCATCCCCTGGCATGATGGCAGGAAGCACCACTGGCTCTGCATAGAAATAGGAATCAGAACTCAGATGACAGCTCTCCTCCCCAAAACACCAACCACCTCAGGACAAAAACAGGGGATAGCACTGGGTGACAGTCCTCCTCCACAAAAGACTGACCATTTCAGGACAAAATAGGTTTCAGCACTGAGCTGATGGCCCTCCTCCACAAAACACTGACTGTCACTGCCCAAAAAGAAGAATCATCACAGGGGCAACAGCCCATTACTCAAACACTATCCATCTCAGAAAAAAAATAACTGACTGCTTGGGGACATGCCCACTGGGACAGTCAGGACTAGTGTCAACAATTATCTACACTTGAAACAATTAGCACGTACTGTCTGGGGCTGATGGGCTATCTAGTCGTAGTTCCATCGGTGTTTCCAATCTGTTCCTCACAATGAGGGCTGACCGGACAGTGATCACTTTCCGAGCACTGCCTTCCATAGTCACAGCAAAGACTACTCGGACAGGTGGGAGGGCAGAGAACTGTGAAGGAAAGACAGAAACAAGATAGCTGTGCTTCAACAAAAATATACAGACTACAACAATACCACAAGAAGAACAGAAAGCAAAAGCATGATTGCTACCACAGCTCATTACTAAAATTATCATTCAACCCTAAAACAATTTATCTGTACAGAAAGCCAATTACTAAAAACAGCCAGACAGGAATGGTGGTACATGTATAATCCCAGCACCAAGGAGGGTGAGGAGGGAGGGCAGGGCAGCAGCAACAACACCACACACACACACACACACACACACACACACACACACACACACACACACACACACACACACACACACACACACACACACACACACACACACACACACACACACACACACACACACACACACACACACACACACACCCTTAACAACACCACACACACACACACACACACACACACCCTTAACAACACCACACACACACACACACCCTTAACACCACCACACACACACACACCCTTAACACCACACACACACACACACACACACACACACACACACACACTTCCTCCAAAAAAAGGAAATAAATCAAATCTAAAAGGTGCTACAAAAAAAAACAATCTACTAGGATGTGACATCACAAACTATATTCCACACATACACACACAGAAAAATTCCTAGACTTCTGGATACATTATAAAGAATTTCACCTAAGACTGTGATAATAACCTATCCAGGGGCTGGGAAGATGGCTCAGTGGTAGAGCACTTGCCTTGCATGCCTGAGGCCCTGGGTTTGATTCCTCAGCACCACATAAGCAAAAAGAAAAAAGGCAGAAGTGGCTCTGTGACTCAAGAGGGAGAGCGCTAGCCTTAAGCTGAAGAGCTGAAGGACAGCGCCCAGGCCCAGAGTTCAGGCCCCGACCGGACCCAAAAATAAATAAATAAATAACCTATCCAATTTTCCAAACATCCTTCATACACAATGTCCCCAGATTCCTACACGAGTCCTTATGTGGAAACTTTAGATGATTTGGTTTCGACACTACTGGAGAACAAAAATAACAATCAACTGAAGCAAGGAGAAAATTAGAAAGACTGAGGTAGGACTTTGCAAGGCATTAAATGATTTAACTCCCGTGGCATTTTCCTCCAAGATTAATACCGAGAAAACATTCCTTGAACACAAACAATGGTCTGGACACTGCCCAAACACACCCAGAAAACTCCGAGGAGCTCTTCTGAGATTTAAGAGTTGTCTGTATGGGTGTGACTTTCAAAGAACACTGTACTTCTTTTCTCTAAGTGTCACTCAACCTACTCTGTCAGTCCATATACTGTTCATTGCCATAAGCATAGAAAAACTAACATTTTTATTCCAAAAGAACTTAAAAATAAACTTCTCTCTTCACAGTATCCTTCCAGCATCTGTTCAATAATCACTCTTTCATAAACAAGGTATCAGGTTTCAGAAACTCAAAATAACGAGGAAAACTTATTTATTTTGGGTCTTAGGTCGCAGTTACTGGCTACTATTATTATTTCAGGTCTAGATTTGGCAAATGAAAGAACATGTTATATATGTCCTTCTGAACCTGGCTTATCTTGCTCAAGATGATATCTAGTTTCATACATTTTTCTCCAAATGACGTAATTTCATTCTTCAGGCCTGAATAATGTTCCATCATGTCTACACACAATCAATCCATCAGCTGTTGAGCACCTAGGATGATTTCATAGCTTGTCTATTACGAATAGCACTTCATAAATATGGCTATGAGGACATCTCCATGGCATGATGACTTACGTTTCTTTGGGTACATGCCAAAGAGTGGTACAGCACAATCATATGGCAGTTTTATTGTCTTTGAAGTCAGCCCAGGTAGAAAAGTTTTTGACTTTTTGCTGTTTTTTGTTTTTTTAGTCAGTTGTGTGCTTGAACTCAGGATCTGGGTGCTGTCCATGAAGCTCTTTGTACTCAAGGCTAGTGCTCTGCCACTTAAGTCACTGCACCACTTCCAGTGTTGGGGTGGTTAACTGGAAATGAGTCTCATAGGGACTTTTCTGCCTGGGCTGGCTTTGAACCACAATCCTCAGGTATCAGTCTCCTAAGTAGCTAGGATTACAGGTTTGAGCTACTGGCGCCCAGCAGTCCTTGAGTCTTATTTCCAATTAACCATCAAAAAGCTGCAAGTATAGCTATGGCTCAAGGAGTAGAGCACCAGCCTTGAACACAAAAGCTTAGTGACAGCACTCAGGCCCTGAGCATTCAAGCCTGGGACCAGCACAAGAACAAAAACAAAAAACAACAACAACAAAAAAAAAGTATTGTTCTGCTCCGTGTGTTCAAGTATGTTTCTGTTCTCTTGCTGTTAATTTCTTATTTTATTCCATTGTAGTTTGATAAAAATACAAGACATTATTTCAATTCTCTTCAATTATTAAGATTTGTTTATGTTCTGAAATAAGATCCCTTTGGAAAAAAGTTTCTTGGGCTGCTAGAGTTGTTAAGTAGACTAGTTCATAAATGTTTGTTAAGTTCTACAGTATGCTATAGTCCGTGTTTATCTGACCTAGTATTGTTTTACTTTGAAATTTCTTTGTTGATTTCCATTGATGAGAACAGGGTATTAAAATCATCCTCTACACTGTGCTGAGGTATATTTGTGCTTTTATGTCCACCAGTGTTTGTTGTATAAAACTGGGTACAACATTTGGTGTGTTATATTTATAATTATTAAGTCTTAATGGATTGTTCTCTGTAGGTGTATGAAATAAATTTTGATTCTTCTAATTTTGATTTGAATTCTGCTTTTTCAGATATGAACAGAGCTCCTCTTGCCTGCTTTCAAGCTCTATTTACTTATAATTTTCCATTCTTTCGTTCGTCTTGGCCTATGAGGTGTATTTCTGTAGGCAACAAATGATTGAGTCCTATTTTTTAATCCAATCCACTGATCTATGTCTTTTGATAAGGAGAATCCAGACTATTAACATTCAGTTTATTACTAAAAAGTAATTCCTGTCATTTTCTTTTATACTGTTTGCTTCTTCCCTAATCATCATTTGCTTACCTACTTGTCTAATAAAATTTATTCTTTCCCATATTTTCTTTTTTCTTTTTTTTTTTTTTGTGGGGTCCTGTTGTGGGCTTGAACTCTGGGCCTGGGCGCTGTCCCTCAGCTCTTCAGCTCAAGGCTAATGCTCTACCACTTGAGCCACAGCACTACTTCTGGCTTTTTTTTTCTTTTTGCTTATGTAGTGCTGAGGAATCGAATCCAGGGCCTCATGCATGCAAGGCAAGCGCTCTACCACTGAGTCACCTTCCCAGCCCATCTTTCCCATATTTTCTTGGTTGTGTTTATATTTTTTTCTGTGTGCACAGTTCTTTAGGTATATATTTTGGTGATCATGAATTTCTTTCGTTTCTGTTTATCATGGGAAGCTTTTGTTTATTATTTAATTATAAAGGAGAATTTTGCTAGACACAGTAATCTTGGGGGGGTGGAAGACAATGTTTTATTTTATTATTTATTGTTTTATTTCATTCCATCTTCTCCTTGTGTTTATAGTTTCTGTTGAGAAATGTGCTGATTTTTTAGACCTTTCAATATTCTTCCCTTGTTATGTTCATTTAATGTTTTAAGGTGGAAAGCATCTGTTTTGTCTGTTTGGTGTCCTAAAAAGCTTCTTGTATTATACCTTTCCCAAGATTTGGGAAATTTTCTGCTATTGTTTTATTCAATGTTTTCTATGCCTTTATTTTGTATTTCTTCTACTTCTTCCTTCTATGTCCATAATTCATGTGTTTAGTCTCTTTGTTTTGGAGGAGGGGAAGTTGTGGGGAGCCTTGAACTCAGGGGCTGGGCACTTTCCCTGAGCTCTTTTGCTCAAGGCTAGCGCTCTACCACTTTGAGTCATAGCTCCATTTCCAGTTTTTGAGTGCTTAAGGAGATGAGTCTCACCGGGACTTCTCTGCCTGGGCTAGCTTCAAACTGCATTCTCAACTTCCTGAGTAGCTAGGATCACAGGTGTGAGCCACCAGTGCCTGGCTGTGTTTAGTCCTTTTTTCTTTTTTTTGTCGATTGTAGGGCTTGAACTCTTGATCTGGGCATTGTCCCTGAGCAATTCAACTCAAGGCAAGCACTCTACCACTTGAGCCACAGCGCCACTTCTGGTTTTCTGGTGGTTTATTGGAGATAAGAGTCTCACAAACTTTCCTTGTTCAGGCTGGCTCTGAACTCCAATCCTCAGATCTCAGCCTCCTGAGTAGTTAGTATAAACCACCAGCGCCCGGCTTGTGTTTAGTCTTTAATGTTGTCTCTAAGGTCTTACATGTTCTATATTTTTAAATTATTTTCCCTTATCTAAATGTTCTCATTCATCTACATTGTCTTCAAAACTGGGTATACTATCTTCAATTTCATTCAGTCTTGGATCTGTCTTAGCTCAGGTTTCATCTGATTTTATTTGACATGTTGAGCTTTTTTTTTTTTGGGGTCCAGTCATGGGGCCTGAACTCTAGGCCTGGGCACTGTCCCTCAGCTCTTCAGCTCAAGGTTAGCGCTCTACCACTTGAGCCACAGCGCCACTTTCGGCTTTTTTCTTTTCGCTTATGTGGTGCTGAGGAATGGAACCCAGGGCCTCATGCATGCAAGGCAAGCGCTCTACCACTGAGCCACCTTCGCAGCCCAACATGTTGAGCTTTTCATTTCCAGAATTTCAATTTAACTTTTTTTCAGGATTTCTATAACTTTACTGAATTCCACATTCATATCCTGCATTGCCTTCCTAATTTCATTCAGCTATTTATCTATATTCTTTTTTAATTCATTCATGCATTTTTATAGATCATCTTTAATTACACTTATGAATCTTATAATCATCCTGAATTCTTTGGGATATCATTCATTCCACTTTCTTTAATATCTATGCTCATCAACTTGCTGTCTTTTGAAAGGTACACCATATATACCTTGAATTTTATACTGGGATTTTCAAATCTGAGACCAAGTTGTCAGTTTTTTAGGTTGAATCACCTATGGACTTTCAGTTCAACTTCTCTCAGTGTTCAGGCAGGACTGTGCAGTGGCAGGGTTAAGGTGCCGCTTCACACCACTAGACTAAGAGGTTGTAACTCACCTACATGTTCAGGGGACCAGGCTTAATTCCCAGCACCACTTAAAGATAAAGAAACTATCTGGAGTCTCTTGTAGTGACTAGTGTACAGCTTGGTGCTATTAAGGGTGAGGCTGGTAAGGTGTCCACTTCTGTCCTTTTGTCATTTCAGAAGCTTCTCTACTTTACAGACTAGCAGCTGCTTCTGATTGCAAGAAGGTCTGCAGTCCATGGATTGGACAAGTTCTCACTTGCTCTCCAGATCGCCTAGTTTGTGCCCCCAAGATAGAGCAAGCATCCAAGTCAAGAATGTACCCCAAATGAGTCAGAAAGCAGGAGAAGCAATCAGGGCACTGAGCTCTGTACTGCTGATGGAGAACTGAGACTAAGGCACTCTCCTGCTGGTCTTAATGCATTTATATCCTGCCCAGCAGTTGACTACTCTGTGGGAAGCAGGAATCTGGGGAAATCAAATCATGTGGTTTGTAGGTCCTGGGCTCAGAGCTCTCAGTCATGCCTGGCAGCAAACTACTGCAACTAGCAGATAGCTCATAGAGGTTCTTAGTGCTTTTAGAACCTATCCAACAGTATATTAACCTGTGGGTAGGCACTTTTATTTCAACCATGACTTCATATCCAAATAGAAAGGCAAACTATAATTTTCTGATGAGCTTTTAGAGGGACACCATCCTAAGCACAAAACAGTATCAAAGCCCAAGTCTCCACTGGCCCTAAAAGCCCTCTATAATCTAGGCCAATGACATCTCCATAGTCCCATGTTCAGACTGACATGAAATTCCACATTTCAAAGCTTTCAATCCTCAGTGAGAAGAAATTACAAATTCAAGACTGAAAATTTTTTTATGTCACCTTGTCATATTTCAAAAGCCAATTTTTTTCAGGGTAGGCAAAATATGGAATCTCACTATTTGTACTATTTGGGCCCAATATATGAAATACATATGATTTGCATGACTTTTGGACCTAAATATATGAAATACATAGTCTTATTTGGATAAATTTCTATTTTTAACTTTGAAAGAAAGAGACATTGGACCAAAATATTTTTCACTGTAGTATTCATTAGCACATAAAAGGGAAAATACTTTCTTGCAAATTCTTAGAAAAGGAAGGTGATCATTAATAGAAAAGGACAGAGATAAACACCAATCACATACATTTGATAATGTCCTCTGATCATCAAGAAACATAAGATATATATACTCAGTAAGCACGGCAAAAACCAGAACTCATACTCACATAAACCTGTGGATGTATAATATTTGTTCTGCTGCTTGGGCTGCCAATCTAAGAAAGATTCAAAGTCAGAGAGTTAGCTGATCTAAGATAAAAGGCATACTTTTCTTTTTTTCTTTTTATAATAAGCATCATTTAATTCAATAATAATATGATTTGATTAAAAGGATGTTATTTGAAAATAGTTTCAGGTAAAGTATATCTATTACAAAGATAAAACATCATTTCTTAACAGCTGTGAGGACCACAATATTTACTCTACAACCCTTTAGTTTATGCAAAATCTCTCCAGGACACATCAATTCAATGCAAAGGAATCTATGGGGAAAATTAGAACTTTCGTTGCCTGACATGAATTTAGGCAGAGAAGTAATTTGAAAGGAAGAGCTAGTTTTTTGTTTTTATTTTCTTTCAGACAGTTTGAGTACTACACTGCAATGATTAAAAAGAAAAGTTATAAACCAGTGCCTTCTGCACGAGTATTTTTCACACTATCTACAAAACTACTGTTTCTACCTCCTCATGGGCTACTCCTAAATGAGTACAATTACCCAATGCAATACAAGTATCAGGAAAAAACACCCATGGCAGCTACCCCAGCATCTGCCTGCACACATCAGTCAGGGAAGCTGCCTACAACCCTCTCCAATGGCCCTACAGCCTGAAGACTGCAGACTGGGGTAAAACTAGGTAAGGGTGCTTAAGTATGCGTTAGCCGAAAATAAAGGACAATGGGCATCTCCCTTTGCACCATAAAGAAGGATCTGGGGCAGGGAATGGTAGCTCATGCCTGTAATCCCAGCTATTGGGGAGGTAGAGATCAGAAGAATCATGGTTCAAGGCTAGCCCAGGCAAAAAGTTAAATGAGACAGCATCTCAACAAATGAAGTAGACATGGTGGCATATACCTGAGGACCCGGATACAGAAGACTATAGCCAGGAGGATCACAGTGAAGGCCAGCCTTACTTACAAAAAAAAAAAAAAATTAAAGCAAAAAGGGCTCGAGGTGGGCTCAAGTGTCTGTCAGAGTGGTTGCCTGGCAAGCAAAGGGCTCCGAGTTCAAACCCTGATACTAACCAAAAAGCAAACAAACATGATTTGGGTGTAAGGAGCTGAAAGGATCAAGGAATAGCATTATAAAAAATATAAATAGCATATAAATTAGGAAGTTTAACATTATGTTAAATGGTCAATATAGATGGCTTTCATAAGATCTGCATCCATAATTCAACCAACTTCCTCCAGACTGTGTACTATGTACTAGGTAGTGAGACTTATGATAATCACACCTGAACTGAACATATACTAACCCTATTGTTCTTATCCCCTAAACAGAGTAACAAACCATTTACATAGCATCTACCCAGTAACAGGTAGTGTATGATGTGTGTACATTACCCACAAACCACTATATCATATTATGTAAGTGCACTGAGCATCTGAGCATTTTAGCATGGGGAAATGGTTGGAGACCTGAACCCATGCTCCAGGGATGCTGAGGCTATATTCATGTTTACAGACTAGTAAACAGTCAATCAGGCCATCTAATTATAAAGTGTACCTTCCCAGGTAAGCTGATGTATTACTGCCAATACTGTATCTGTTTTCCACTGAAATTATCCATTGTCTGGTATATGTGCATATGGATGCCTCTGGCTGAGCCAATATAATCTAAAGTCTTCTTTGTCCCACTAGCAAAATTATTAGACAAAATTATTATAGACTTAACTATCTCACAGCCTGGTTCATAGGAGTTGAGACCACACTACCACTGTACCATTAATCACCCATTCCACAGCCACTCACTGTAGAAGAAGATGAATTTTTATCTGGTGCTGCATATCGGAAGAAGGTTCCTACTTTGTCCACAGACACTGGGCTTACTTGCTCCCAGCCATTTACTCTCACTTGCAGCTGATGGATCCGTAGGTCATGGGTGTGTCTGTTACGAAGGACACAGACAGGGAAATCAAGCATAGTATCAAAAGGGATGGAAAACAGAATGAAGATTCCAATCTGCTTTACTATATGACATAAAAAGCCAGTCAGCTAAATTGTTTGGGAATTACCTAATACAGGGGGAAAAAAATCAAGAGAATAGTTGAACTGGGCTTTATGTTTGTGGCATGAATTGAAAGGTAAGAAGAGCCCGAGCAAGGACAACTTTCACTCTCCTGTACTGTATGCTTGTAGGTTTGCTCCTTACAGCTCCCACCCCAATCTTCATAAACTAATGGTGTCAGTGAAACCATTCCAGTGCAGTGGTAAAAATGTGTCAGCAATTGAATCATACAGCCACTCTATATACATTCATACATACATACACACACATATATACATGGATACATATGTGAAGTTTTTCTTCTTGGTTGCTCTGTTGAATGTCGTACTTCTCTCAGAACCACACTCAGTAGTTTGGCTCCAGCTCTACTTGACTAGAAACCGGTAAACAAGACAGAACCCTCAGTTTCAGAGCTGAAATTGGAGCAGAAGGCAGTGGGAAGAACAGAAGGAATAGGAGGAAATTGCACATTTAATTCTATTTTAGACTTTGCCTAATTCAAGCCAGAAGTCTAAAACAAGGAACTGAATTTAAGGCTGACAGGAAAGTGGGGGGCAGGGACGAAATGCATGGAGTAGGTACAGAGTGCCAAGGGAGGAATATGCCCGAAGAGACATTGATGTTGATGAATGCAAGCAGAGCAGTAGGACTTGAAGTGGTTTACAGAGCATGAAAACATAAAACAGAAACAACAAGGAAGTCAAGCCCTTTCCAGACAGAGGCAGTGCTTATTCAAAGACACTGAATTCAGTCCTGTGGTTCTCCAAGAACTGTAAACTATGTGGCAGGAAAAGACTATGCTGCCTAAGGTCGCCTCCAGGAACATGTCCACAGAACAGGAGTCTCCCCCCACTCCTGTGCTGGCGCTGGAACCTGGAGCCTTACATATGCTAGGCAAGCACTCTACCACTAAGCTATATCCCCAGACCAGGATCTTTGCTTTTAGCATTTTTTCTCTGTAAAACCCAGAAACCCATATGCTTATAACCCTTGCAGAGGAAGAAGTGCCTAGCGTGGGAGAGGCCTGCAAAGACTTCAGCACATGAGAGCAACATGCAACTGTAACAATGCAGGAACTGATCTCTTCTGTTTCAGTTCAGCCTAAAAGCCACCAGAAGCTCCAACTCTAAACTCTTCACCTATCTGACTTCCAAGTCTTAGCCTATTCAGACCATGAGACAGTCCTTCCACTTAAAAATGTTTGCAAATAATGAGACACTTTAATTAGACATCTTACAGTCTCATTTACCAGACACAAAATGTTTTATCCCTTTGGTGGGCTATTTCAGGAGTACATAAGCCTGTGGTCCCTCTCAGTGAGCTATTTTCATACTTATTAGGATCAGAATTTCTTGAGTTTTTTTTGCTGGTTCTGGGGCTTGAACTCAGGGCCTGGGCACTGTCCCTGAGCTTCTTTTGCTCAGGGCTAGAACTCTACCACCTAAGCTACAGAACCACTTCCAGTTTCTTTTGAGTAGTTTATTGGAGAGAGATAGTGTCACAGACTTTCCTTCTCTGGCTGGCTTCAAACTGTGATCCTCAGATCTCAGCCTCGATTATAGGCATGAGCCACCAGCACTTGGTGGATGGATCAGAATTTCTATCTTACCATAATTAGTTCTACTTCTGGAGATTTTCCACCTACTACAAATAATATATGGTGTAAACGCATTCTAGGTTTGAGTTAATGTGCTATGAGAACCTTGGAGAACAACATGTCATCTTTGCATCAGATACCAGGCCAGGATATAATAAACTTGAGTGTCACCATGTGTCTATGCTTTACATGTTTTATAAAACACACAGCTCATCTCCTCACACATTACATGAATGGATAATGGAAAGAAATTTATTTTCCAACATAACAAGACAGCCTACATTTTAAAAAAGAAACAGGAATCTTCAAAACACCTTTTACAAGTAAAATATTGACATTATTAATAAGTAAAAAGGCAAAATATGAGAAATAATTTTTCCATTTTAATTTTTAAAGAGAAAGAATAAATGATCATCTGTTTGTTACCTATGTCGTAACTTCCCTCTCGCTTCAAATTCAAAAGGAATCTCTTCGCCAGTAAGGACTTCTCGCCACTCACTAACATTGTGTGTATCATCCAGAAATGCTCCATTCCCTTCTGGAACCATCCCTGGACTCCCACTGTGAGACAGTGCTGCCCTGGAAGAAAATCACATACCAATAACCAACTATGTCTTGTTCATTCTCTTCACAAGAGCTCTGCACTGAGGAGCAGAGATTCCCCTTAAAACAGATCCACAGCCCTTAAGAGGCCAGCCACTGTTATTTCATAATTATTTCCAGCTTCAGAAATAGCTGACAGCTGGTGCTGGGCATGGTCATGTACACCTGTAATGTCAACATTCAGAAGGTTGAAGCAGGAGGATCCTGAGTTTAAGGAGCTACATAGCAAGACTCTCTCTCTCCCCTTACCCCAGTTTGTTATTGTTGTTGCTGTTAGTCACGGGACTTGCACTCAAGGCCTAGGCACTGTCCCTGAGTTTTTTTGCTCAAGGCTGGTACTCTACAACTTTGAGCCACAGCTCCACTTCCGGTTTTCAGGTGCTTAATTGGAGTCTCACAGAATTTCCTGCCCAAGATGGCTTTGCTCTCAGCCTCTTGAGAAGCTAGGATTACAGATATAAGCTGCCAGAGACTGACTAATTTTTTTTGTCTTAAAAAGAAATAGTGCCTATCAAGCCACTTGCCTCCATTAGGACAGTGTGGCATGTATAAATTAAAGCAAGACTTTCCAAAGGAACCTTTGAGTGACTACCCACTTTCCAGACCTGCTATTGAATAGAAGTACCTCTCTTCCACAGCAATCATGCTTGATGTGGAGGCAGGAGGACTGAGATTTCAAATCAGCTGACTCTGTTACTCATTTCATTTACCACTGCTTAAACTGGGAAGGTCACTGTGTATTTGAAATGCTGAGTCAAGATCTGAACAGCAGTCATCAGATAATGTTCTCACTGAGCTCAGGCACTCTCTTTTAGAGTTGCAATGTGGGCTGGGAAGGTGGCTCAGTGGAAGAGTGCTTGCCTTGCATGCATGAGGCCCTGGGTTCGATTCTTCAGCACCACATAAGCAGAAAAAGCCAGAAGTGGCGCTGTGGCTCAAGTGGTAGAGTGCTAACCTTGAGCTGAAGAGCTGAGGGACAGTGCACAGGCCCAGAGTTCAGGCCCACAACTGACAAAAAAAAATAGAGTTGCAATGTGATTCAGAAATCAAGTTTGTTTGTTTTGGGGGCTTTTTTCCAGGTATGAGGGAGGATGGAGGACATTTTCACAATCATCTTGGAAGAAAAATGTAAAACATTTAACAACTACATATAGCTTTAAAGAAAAAAGCAAGAGTGACAGGTACAGAGACTGAATGGTTTTTCTTCATACTCCTACTTTGAGCCTAACACTGGACCAACTTCTCAGACTAGATTCTATACAGAATCAGAAATGCCTATCTGTCTCAGTTAAAAAGAAAAATTATTGATTCAATTACAATCCCAGGGGCCTCAACCAGGGCTATTTTGCTCTGGTGACAGAGATGGCTCTGGAAGTCAGGCTAATTGATCCTTACCTGGTGGGTGTGGTAGTCAGCGTGGCAAACCACAGCGTACAGCCCGTATGGTTCCTCAGAGCAAAGGGGACAAATGGCTGCCGGCGCTTGGGGGTTTTCACCTCTGCTATGAAAAACAGAACAAGGCTATTAACATCTGCCTCCATCTGCATGGTAGAGACCCTCCCCATACCTGTGGACAGGGCCCACTGCTGACTCTTGTGCAAAGGGACTGAAGGCAGAGGCAAGAGAGTGAAGAACCACAGGTCAGCGAACAGGGTAAATGAAAGTTCCATGCATTTGCTAGCTGCTGTGGGACATCTGTCCTTCCCCATGTCTCCCACAGGTCTTACAGCTCAGAAAAGAGCATCCAGACATGGTCTGGCTGGAACAAGAAAGACACTGAAATGGTCTACTACTTTCAAGAAATATACTCTATAAATAGGTAACCTAGACTGTAGCATGTACTTAGCTTTTCCAAACAGTCTTTCCTTAAGGAAGTTTCTTTTTATAGAATGCATATCAATTGCAAAAAAAAAAAAAATCCTTCATCATTCTCTTAGGATGATAGCTGGATTTTTCTCCCTGGAAAATCAGGGATATACTATCCCAAGTCTTCTTAAATGAAGTTTTTGCTCATTTTTAGCATAGGCTTCAGATCCAGCACAATAAGGTAAGCCACTATGAAGGCTACAAAAGAACATAATACATGGCATGGCTTCACAAACCAACCTAGACCTGGGAAACTGCAGAGAAAAGACAACCAATACAAAGCTATAAGCAAACAAACTCCAGAAAAAGGTGACTTAACTATAAACTCTGCAAGAAGTCCAAAGAAGGCTCTCTGGTGCCTGGGCTGCCTCCAGACTAATCCTCAGGCACTCCTGGCCAAGTGCCTACGTCACCTCCAATGCTACACAAAGCAAGCAGGAGGCAGAGGCAACACAGAGTGGGAAGGCTCAGCATACAGCCACTGCCAACCACACTGGGCCCCAGTGCCCAGCCCTATTTCACTCTGTGTCCATCCTGAAAGCACAAAGACAGCCTGAGAAAGACTGCAAGGTCAATGGTCTGCACCAGGACAAAAAAAAAAAAGCCATCTAGATAGGCAATAAACACGGACAAGGGAAGGCACCAGGGCAAAGCTGGGGTCAGCCTACAGGCAGCATGCTGACCACAGACAAATGCAAAGGCAAAGGGTGACCTGTACTGCTGTGATCATCCCTGCCTTTTAGTTAGGAACGGCTTTCTCTTGTGCTTTTATACCTTCTACAGTTCTCAGAACTTTACACTGTGACACTGGTACCGTCAGTGGCTAAGAGAGTCCTAAGACACAAAGGAAGCAGCCTCCCTTATATCCCCACAATTTCGTAGGGATACTTCTAAAGAGAAGTATCCCAGCACTATGCCTATGTTCATCCCAGTAGCCTCATACAGTGATGCTCATCAACCAGAAAATGAAGGAGTAGCTAAGAGAGGGGAGTAAATCACCCATGAGTAGTCTACTGGGTAAACAGTATTTCATGCAGCACTGTAGAAAGCGCTGCCTGCCATGGCAGCGAAGAGATACAGACCAGGAGGAAAAGGGAGCAGATGTGCCTTCACATCCACTGGGGGAGACACTGCCAACTTCCACTTGCAAACTGGATTTAAGAAGAACAGGTATCAGGTGGCTTTGATCACTTTGTTTGCAGGGATCTACAAGGGCATCCATAAGCACACAGCTTTGGAATTTCAGAGCATGGTAGCACACTGCTCAAGTCCCTGAGCTCTCTGTGTTGACCAGATATAACAGTACAGGCATCAGTAACCCACTTCTCTAAGGAGAGAACTACAGGGCATGCACATGAATACACACCAAACATCAAGGAACAAAACTGACACTTAACTGCCCCAGGATTCAAATAAACAGAGAAAATTCCCAGATCCATCAAAGACAACATTATCTCCTGATGTCTTAAAAAAAAAATCTGCCTTCCATGCCCAAATTGAGTATCTCTATGAGCTGAGATAACCTAAAGTTCTTTCACAAAATAGTTCAGCCTCAAATGGTTCCAGCAGAGGAAATTCCTACAGTTTGGCCTTGTTTCCTTGTGTAGCTTGCCAACTATAACAATGTAAGTTACACACTAAATAACGCTCATTCTATCTGAAAGGATCTGGTTTGTTAATCATAATAAATACATAAAGCCCATGTCTGCTGCAGCAGGAAAGTACAGAAAAGCTAAGGTATACATTCATGAACAAATGAAGATGAGAGCCCTCCCTCAAAGATCTTAACCAGTAATAGTTTGCAGAAAAACAAAACAAAACCTAACATGGACAGATACTCTGTTGTAGTAGTTCCATGTTTGTTTTGGTTTTTTAATACAAGGTCTTACTATGTTGCCCAAGCTGGTGCTGAACTCACAATCATCCTGTATCAGCTCTCAAGTATTGGGACTACAGCTATATACTACCATACTGGATCAAATGCCTTTTTTGTATTATAGATCATGAGTCATGATCCAAACTAATTGCATACAAGCATCAATCACTCATATTAAATGGTGCTCTATAAAGCAAAAGAAGACATGAGCACCTTGGCATTGTAGTTCCCCAATCACTTACCAGTCAATTTGTCAAGGAACCTAAAGGATAAGGAATAGAAAAGTTTTTTAAATGCCCCACCCTACTTTTTTGTACTGGAGTTTGAACTCAGAGCCTTGCACTTGCTAGGTTGGAATTCTACCACTTAAACAAACCTCCCCAGCACTTTAGTCTTCAGTCACTTTTCAGATAAGAGTTTGCTCACATTTTTTGCTTGGGGCTAGCATCTGAGGAAGGCTGTAATCTCCTATGAGATTATAACTGTCTTGAGGATTTTTTTTGTCCTGTCTCTTAGGTTCTTAAATCCATATCTAAAGAAATTAACAATACCAGTTTTTTTTACTGAGAACCTTTTTCTTATTTTATATCTGATTATTATTCCTCATATTTTATAGACCCCCTACATTCCTGTGAGAACAAATGCTTACTGGGTGTTCTGTAAGCCAAGACACAGAGAATTAGCAGCACTTGTTGACAGACCACGGTACTCTTCCATCTACTTGCTTTAACTGGCTTTGGCATTTCTGCACCATATACTGTAGAGTTTACTCCATTTACAAAATTAAAGGAGATAAAAGACTGACAATGGAGTACAACTCTTCTGATATAATAAAGCACTACTCTATTCATTAGTTGAAGGTGTTCTTTCATGTTATGTTCCCATTCAGTTCTGATCAACAAAAATAATTGACATTCAAGGCAGTTCTTAAACCAAGAAAATGAAGCAAGCCCTCGCTTGGCTATACTGTACCTCTAGCATAGATCTGGTGCTCTAGGTTAGTCAGACTGGCTGTACTCCTAGTTCTAAGGTAGACAAGGGGAAGGCCTGGTAGACAGGAAAGACAAAGTTAGAGGGTAAGAATAAATATGGTGAATAAGACTCACCTCCAAACAATAAGCACAAATAGAGAACATTACAAAAATAGCAAGCATCATGCAGGTACAGGATGATTCTTCCTGTTCTTACTAAGAGCAGAGAACATTCTTAACAAAATGAATACAATGTTTTTTTTTACACTGGCTTTCATTATGATGGCTGTGCCAAAGCAGCATGCTGCTCTTTTTCAAAACATATTAAACATTCTCTACAGCAGAATAACTAGCCTTCTGAGGATTTTTTAATTTAAAAGCATGTTCTTAACTGGCACAGAAAAACCACAGAAACTGATCAGTATGGTTTTTAAGGGAGGCTGCTCCATTCCAGGTGGAAAAACATAGTAGCAGTAGAATCCTGGTTCCCCCGGCCTCGCACACTTGGGGAAGAGTCAGGCTGGGTTCCATTAAACCACCTCTAAGGATTTATCTCATCATACTGTTTAAATTCTAAGTTGAACATGAACTTTCTCACTGTACATTTGAGTTTGGTATTTCATAAAGTGATTCAGAATATAATATATATTAATATATATACATGAAAGTTTTAACAAAAGAATCTCAGCTTTTACTAAAGTAGGCCCACAATTATGTCAAAGTGAGACAATTTTCCTGCTAAAGAAACAGCACAAGAGGGAAATCAGCATTTCATAAGGCTGAGTTTCATACTAAGAGCTGCTCAAGATGCTGGTCTGAATAAAGAAGCACAACTAGGGAGGAAATAATACTAAATACTCAAATAAGACCTAAAGTCTGTGATCAGTTCAGCAAGGTTGAAGCCAATAGAGAGAAGCTCAATAATCATTTTGGTGGGACTATTAAAAAATTATAATCCTGGCCTATTCAAAGAATACTATCCTACAATTTCCAGAAACAAAGACACCTAGAAATTTAGGTATATTAGTTATGTGTGATTAAAAAGATATATCACACCTATATCAGCCTAAGTAGCCATAAAAATTTGTATAAGTAAAAGAAGGCTTTTATTTAGCACTGGTATTACACATTGACTAGGTAGCTTATTAACTACAGAAGCATAGGGGTTGGGGGAGAGGATATCCTTTATTACCGTCCTAAAGATCAAATCTTCCTGGTATTTGCAGACTCCTTATTCAAGATCTCTCTGTATAAATAACATTTCCAGAAACACACTCTCTTGGACATATTACATACATAAAGATTATTTAGCATCTTCTGGGTAGACTGCTAGGTTTCTTGACAGACAAACAGGGAAGACTAGAGTAGAAACCAGAGCTGAAAGGCCCTGGCTCCTAAGCAACAACCTCAAGACTTATAACAGCCTGGGAAGACAGAGAACAAGCACAGCTGATATTTCTTTCTTTCTTACTACAAGTACAGAGGGTTTGAGTATACACCCTGAGGAGAGCCAAAACAGAACAAATATTTTAGACACTAAGAAAACCCATTTTCCCATGACATGTTTGCAGACCAGATGGAATATTTAAGTATTCATGAGCTATGTGAAGTCCGGCCAAGCCTCCCCAAAGAAACCACACTGAAAGAGTTGGGGCTGAGTTGAATTTGGATGACAATGGCTTGTGGAACAACTAAGACCATGCAGTTGTCCATCACAATCTCCCCAGTTCTGAGGAAAACAGAGCTCCATGGTAAGGCTCTAAATAAGGAAAGAAAACATCATCAAGGGAACTAACTGGAGAACAAACTGACTCCTCTTTCCTCAAAAGGCTGGGTATTCAATTCTTTTATACTATATGAACAATACAGGGCTTCTCTTTTAAAAATGTTTTTCCACATGGGATCCTGCCCTTCCTCTTTTCAAGAATACATAAACCTTCTATCACTAGCTTTAGATGTTAGAAAAGATGTCTTTAAAATCTGATTTTTAAAAAAATTCAATTAACTGGAAAAACCAATGTTCTGTTGAGGAAACACAGACCAAGCAACAGTTGATCTTGACATAGTTTCAGTGTACCAGCTCATTTACAATGACACCAGATTTTAGGAATTTCGTGTTGCAGATCCTTTCTCCCAATATAGGTGGAATTAAGAGCCCACATTAAAAATTCAGTAGATTGTGCCAGAAAACTCTCTTGAAAAGACTAAAACAGAACAATAGAAGACAAGTCATAATTTCCCATAGATTTCTCCATGAAGAATGGCGGTTCTGTCTGAATTTCTCAGTGAAGCATTGCATTGTGGTCAACAGTGACTCAGATAGATATGGGCAGGTAAAAATCTTACTTTGTCCAAAGCATGGAGGATCTACTGAAGAGCCCATCCAGTCTTCTGACTTAGTAGAATCCATTTCTTTATCTTCTTTACAGTAATCTGCCATCCATGATTCCTTGGTACTTATATACTGGTCTACAGGAAAAAGAAAAATCCACAAAGATAGTAAGAAGAGAAGTAGAAAAGATTGAAAGTTCATATTAAGTAATTTCAATTCAGCAACATAAGCTCTTCTTAAGTGCCTCTACATGCTAGAACTGCTGCTGAGATGGTATGTGCCCTGGAGAAACTCAAATTTACATGGAAGAGAGTAGCGTGAACAAAACAACACCCAACACAAAAACAAATGTCAATGAGGCTTAAACAAAGATGTGAATAAAATGCCCCAATGGCACAGATTTACTGTTTTGGCAGAAGTGGAGGAATAGATACCAAAGCCCAGAGAAGACTTCAGAGAGGTCTTCAGATTCAAACCATTGTTCTGAGTCTGAAAGAATGAATAGTTTAGCAATTGCCAATGTGATTAAGAATGGAATGACAAACTAGACATAGGTGACTCATGTCTTAATCTGAACTACTCCGGAGATTGAGATCTAAGGATCAAAGTTCAAAGACAGCCGAGGCAGGAAAGTCTATAAGACTTGTCTCCAATTAACCACCAAAAAGCTGGAAGTGGAGCTGTGGCTCAAGTGGCAGAATGCCAGCATTGAGCAAAAAGAGCTAAGAGATAGCACCCAGGCCCAAGTTAAGATCTAGGACCAGCACAAATGGAAAAAAAAAGAAAAAAAGAATGGAAGTGACATTCTAGGTAGAGGGAATCACATGGGCAAGGATTCTATAGACATGAAAATGCATGTCCAGTGTAACTCATATAACTTTACAACATATTGAGGTAGAAACAATGCAGAGAAATCTAGAAAAGAGAATGACTTAGTTTATGAAGAACAAAGTACATTATGCCAAGGGAAAAGGTTTGGAAACTGAGAGATCAGTCAGAAAGCTTCTAAAGAATAATTAAACCCAGGAGGCTGAAATCCAGCTGCAATTTTCCATGAGCAGATTTATTTTTGGAGAGAACTGTTAAGGGGAACAGCAGGTTAAGAAAATAATTCTGATACACCACACCTGAGTGAAGATATTTCTTTTATACTTGGAACAAGAATGAGTGGTTTCCAGTTTCAATCCCAATACATGCCACAGATATAAGATTTATTTAAACACTAAGCAATATTTATGGGTTTCAGAACACTATTAGAAATAAGAAATTGGGTTTGAAAAAATAAAAATTTTACTAAGGAAAAAAAAAGTTTTCTAGAAGGTATTTTTAAATATCAAATATTTATCAGAAATACTAACAAAAATACTTCTGAGGTGAACTCTTATTTACTTACTTTTTGATTTTTTGGTTTTTTCAGAGAAAATTTCACTATATAGCCCAAGCTAGCCTGGAACTTGCTATGTAGCTCAGACTGGCCTCAAACTTATAATCCTCCTAACCTTGGCCTCTCAGGTGCTGGGGGCCAAGGTTAGGAGGACTATAAGTTTGATTATAAGTTTGCAAACATAAGATAATTTTAGTAGTCTTTTTAAAAAAAAACCCAATAATCAAAAGTTTAAGAGCAAGACTACCATACCAAAATTATCTAATTCAGATTAGGAAATCATGAGGAAAAAAAAAAAACTAATCAAAATAATACAATTTAGAAGATCCATACGGCTAATTTACTGTTATTCATTTTTTGCTTTTGCAATTTTTTTTTTTTGGGTCCAGTCGTGGGGCCTGAACTCAGGGCCTGGTCACTGTCCCTCAGCTCTTCAGCTCAAGGCTAGCACTCTACCACTTGAGCCACAGCGCCACTTCCTGGCTTTTTTCTTTTTGTTTATGTGGTGCCTCAGGCATACAAGGCAAGCGCTCTACCACTGAGCCACCTTCCCAGCCCTGCAATTTTTTTTTTTGAGACATGGTCTTGCTATGTAGTCCAAGCCTCAAACATTCAATTCTCCAGTCTAAGCCTCCCAAGTGTAGGGAATACAGACATGAACCACCACATGTGATGATATGGTAATATTAATATCAAAGCAAATTGATGGATGAAATTTGATTATTTAAAAGTGTGGGGTTTTTGTTTGGGGATTTTTTTGGGGTTTTTTTGGTCATGAGGCTTGAACTCTGGACCTGGGTGCTGTCTCTCAGCTCTTCAGCTCAAGGTGAGCACTCTACCACTTAAGCCACAGTGCCACTTCCTAAAACAGTGGTTTTAAATCTTGGAAACCAAAAAACTTAAGAATCTTATTCCACTAACCCACTCTTCCCTTTGTTCTGACAAGGACAAAGCAGCATTATTCTAACAGCCTCAATGAACATACATGACATGAGGTCACTGTTTTGCCCTGGTGTATGCTACCACTCACAAATGACTTACTCTATTACCAAAAGTAGATTATGCAGAGCACCAAACCAAACTGAGAATGCTAATCTGCTTTTAGATGATAGAAACACAAACAATAGAAACTTCTTGTTCATCCAAACACAGGAATGCACATCTCAGGGTCACCACAGAAACTTCGGAGTATACTCCACTACTCTGGTACCCCTTAGACAAGTCATTTCCAGAGTTAAGTAAGGATGGCATTGATGGGCAACAACAGACAACTTACTCTCTGCTATAAAGACCCAGTCAAAACCACACCAGAAAGAATTATTCTGTGACTAGCCTGAGAAAAGTAAATGTCAACTTGCTTCCAGGGCATTCAGTGACCCCACCTACCAGGCACTATGAAGAGAAAGTGAAGCAAGGCCACTTATAGTTCCTAAGGAATCTCAACACCTTGAAGAGCTGGCATGAGATGCCAACTCTTAAAAGCGGGTTAAAAGGATTCCTGATGGGGCTGGGAAGGTGGCTCAGTGATAGAGTGTTTTTCTTGCATGCATGAGGCTCTAGGTTCGATTCCTCGGCACCACATAAGCAGAAAAAGCTGGAAGTGGCGCTGTGGCTCAAGTGGTAGAGTGCTAGCCTTGAGCTGAAGAGCTGAGGGACAGTGCCCAAGCCCAGAGTTCAGGCCCCATGACCAACAAAAAAATAAAAGATTCCTGAGACTAGTTTAGGGTGCACTGGGAAAGAAACAATGATAATTGATGATGCTAGGCACAGGGCCAAGCATTTGCTTACCTAATATCATCTGATAAACCAAGGGATTGTACAGAAAAGAACTAGCTTGAAACTGCACCCACCAATCAGTACAGAAGTGATATTGATATCCAAACGGGGTTTGGCTTTGGCCTCCAACTTTAGTCGCCGGGGATGGAGACGACTAGCTGCCTGCTGTTGCCAGGATACAGAGCATGGCCATGGCTCGATAAATGGCTCCCAGCCTACAGAAGACAGGAAGTAAGACATCCGTTCAGCAAATATCAAAGGTTTACAGAGAAATACTATTCATGAGTGCTCCGCAAAAACAGACCAGAGCTTAAGCACTCCAAGTCACTTTCTCAACAAAAGTTCCATCTCTTTCCAGGCACCAGTGGCTCATGCCTGTAATCCTAGCTACTCAGTAGGCTGAGATCTGAGGATCATAGTTTGAAGCCAGCCCACACAGGAAAGTCTGTCAAGACTCTTGTCTCCAATTAACCCCCAGAAAAACTGGAAGTGGCACTGTGGCTCAAAGTGGTAGAGTGCTAGCCTTAAGCGAAAAAGCTCAGGGATAGATCCCAGGCCCTGAGTTCAAGTCCCATGACTGACCAAAAAAAAAAGCTCCACTTCTGTCTGCAGATCACCTTATAGATGTCAGTGCTATGGTAGACACAAGTGGACAAGCATAAACAACTCCCACCATGGTCTCCCATGGGTAGTACAAGCATCTATTACAGAGGAGGCAGCACCTGTTCTTGAGCCACTCATGTTGGCAATTACATTTGGCTCCCCTGGTAACACAATCTATTGAGTGAATAAATAGGTAAATCTGTATTCTCATTAGCTTAAGTTTCTCAATGTTCCTATCTTAAAATGTTGTTGAGATAAATTGTTTAAACAACATCTTTACAATTTGAAGAAAACAAACTCATATATACCCATGATTCTACATAAGAAATAGAAAATTACAGGGCTGGGAAGGTG